TTAAACAAACCAACAAGTAAGAAAAAAAAACTAGGAAAAAAAAACAGTCTTAATAAGCAAGCAGAAGACTTATTTTACCATATGGATTAGGAAAGTGGTAACATGTTCAACTAAGAATTTAACAACACAGAGGGCACAATATATTTTTTTGAAGGGATAATCCACTGATGGAAAACAGCTTGTGTGTGGGCTGCACTTCATCTATAAATACTTGGGTATCTATCTGTGCTAAATATCTAACAAACCTAAGGTAAAAATAAGGTAAAATATCCAATTATTCGTGTGCCATCATGGTTCTGTCCTGTGTTACTAGGTACATTGTCTTCTACATTTATGGCTGTGTCTAGTTTGGTCTGTAGTGAACTTTCAGTTCTGGGTTGACTAGAGCAAGGCAGGAAGTTCATGAGTAGTCCAGTTCCCCATTTCATCCTAGCAAGGGGACCACCAAGAAACAAATTATACAGAAAGTTTGCCTATCCACCAAATGTTTTCAACTGTATGCATTTTAAACCTGGCCTAGTTGTATCTTTAACACATGTTTTCTATCACAAGCTTTACAAACTAATATCAGAGCTTTTTCAGCTGAAACAGGAACTGAACTAAACTAATGCTTTAAAGCTCTGGAAACCAGATTATCAAGGATATAAATGTCATTTAAAATTGCCCGCACATGGCTTAGCCTGACACTTTAATGGCATTTGTGCTATGCCAGATTGTAGGAGCATAGATAGTGTATTACATCTATTAAGTGGTGTATAACTTTTAAGGTGAACTTTCTCCCTGTCACAATAAATGTTGTTAGATACGATACTGATAATGAGTAGGTCCATATGACAACAAAAATAAATATATACATTGCGTGCTTTGTCTTCCAGAAGGAGAGTCACTTCACTGAATGTCCCTTGATAAAGATAAATATTCTCAGGTGTTAAAAGATATTCGAATAGAATACATAAAATTACTGCTAAGCCAAAGTTGCAACTACAGCCTAATCCTAAAGTGGAAACAGAACCCAACTTGGCCCTGAAAATAATGCATTTCACAGCTTTATACTCTTTTTGTTTATATTTTCAAATAAATAAATGTAGATTGAAATGGCAGTTACATGGGGAAGTATGTTTATTTCATGGAATCCGGAATCATTTGGACTGTAAAAGACCCTTAAGATCAAGTCCAACAGTTAACTCAGCACTGCCAAGTCCACCCCTAGACTGTGTCTCTTAAGTGCCCCATCTACACACGTCTTTTAAATACCTCCAGGGATAGGGCTTTCACCACATCCTGGACAGCCTGCTCTAGTACTTGATGAATTTTTTCATAACCTATCTAAAACTTATAGGGAGTAGGGTTTACTGTTCATTAATATATAAGATTTCAAAATAAAGTGTATTTTTCTCTACTTTTGATGTAATTTTTTGATACAGAATCATTGTAAGTGTCGATTTGGGTTCCACATGTGAATAAATGGCTTTAGTGGCAGAAAATGCATAAATACTCAGTATCCAAGAACAAAAAAATGCTGCTAAATGGAAAGATGTAACAACTAAAATAAATGAGCAAAAGGTAGTAGATTAGGAAGATGGTTTGAAATCCTAGTTAGATTAGTTACTACTGCATACCACAAAGATGGCTCTTCTTTTTTTACAAGCATTTTCATCTTTATGTTTTCAGGCAATGTCTCTATCATTAATATGGAATTTTTTTCAGAACACTTTCTTTTTTTATAGTTGTTCTGTATGACATGGGTGGCTTTTCTTTTGTTTCTTATTATCTATAACAGGGATTCAAATTACATTCCTTATTCATGTTAGGAAGCTATACTAACTAGTATTTGTAAAACACTGCAAAAAGAAAATAGTATACAGGATTATTATTTCATCTGAGCCCCATAGTTACTTACTTACCTGTTCAAGTCATTAAATCAGTTAAGAACAGGAGGCATTTCTGGCAGTCCATTTAACTCACTGTAACTGTGTCAGTTATCTTTTATTCCTCATCCTGTCTGTATTCCACTGTTGCCTTTCAGCATTTTAATAGTGTGGAAATTTGGATTGTGTGGAGAAACTTACCTGATTCCTCATGCACAGTTGTGCTCCCAACACTTGCAGGCCTGGAGGTAGAATGTGTGCTCTTCCGACATGTGTCAAAAGAGACATATGTGAGGAATGGAGAAATCCATTCTCCAAACAGTCACCCTGCTGTGATAACAAGAGTGAACAGGTTTATGCAAGAGGTTTCCAGGCTGATCCTGACAGGTGCATGATTTCTTGGTAGGAAATGATTGTTACTCCAAGAAACTGACTATGTGAAGTCATTGTTCTCCAAAGCAGTAAAATCTGTGCATCTGTGTTAGGGGAGTATATAGCTTGTGTACACTGCTAGCCTCACATTAATATATTATATTAACACACAAGGTTCTCTTCTTGCTGCTTAAATAAAGAATTAAAATCAAATTTGCCTATATCACAACTTTTGTCCGGGCACTCTACCTGCTGGTGATAACACCTTTAGGTTACCTACCCGTACCTTAGGTAGGGGTAGGTAACACCTTTAGGTGTTACCATAACAACAGCAACAATTTGTCAAGGATTTTGTGCTTTATTATAAAGCACACTTTAAGATGAAGGCCATTATTAATCTTTTTTTTACTTTTCTTTTGGCCGTTTATTAACAGTCAAGTTTCATTTAGTTCTCTGGCCTTTCTTGCAGTGGCTAGTAAGTATCTTCCCATACAGTACTTTTAACAGGATGTTAAGATTTCTTCTTATTAAGTCAGTGTGCATGGGATTCCTGCAAGGAAGTGAGTGCTGATACCTGGAGTTACAGAAAAGAACTGTGGAAATAAGCTAGAGAGAAAGTCTAAGATCCTAGAGAGATGTATGGGAGAGGAATGCTATATATATCTTTATTTATGTAAGAAATCCTACTATTTTTGCTCTTCCAACTTCCCTTGAAGTTCCGTACATAAGTGGGGCACTCCTAGGGTAAGATGGGACACTAGCTTCACATTCTGTGCTGAATGAAGAAGGGTGAGGATTCCGTTCATGGGCAGTATGCTCCAAGGCAATGTAAACTGACATTTAGCCACTTAAACCTGGAAACAAAATTCTACTAGTTTTTGGCAAATGAAGAAAAAAAGCATACTGAATATCATGCTTAAATATTTTCTAAACTTCAAACAGTTGTAATTTTTTTTTTAATTACAAAAGTCACAGTGATGGTGGTAGCATTCTTGCAACATCTTTTGATCTGTTTTATTAAAGTCTGATCTATTCATGTAAAACATTTGCATATGATCTGAACCAGAAAGGGCACCAGTATGAATGCTTCTCCACTTCGGCTGTAAGAGACTGTTCCAAATGTTACTAGGCCTGCTTTTAGTTTATGCTTTAGTGAAAATTTAGTAGTTGGTACCCTTAAGTAATAAACATTAATCCAGCACTTATCTCCCCCTCTTCTGTCACTGTTTTGACTGCTAAGCTGGCTTCACCAATTGATTTGATTTAAATTGAAACTGAGTCCTAACAAAACAGATCTGTAGCAAATATCTAACAGTTTTGTCATTTTTTTGAGTTTTTAATTTCATTTCCTTTAATATATAAGTATTTCTTTTATTTTGACTGAGTTTCGGCAGCTTTGCTGGGGCTTAGCTTTGCCAAAATCTTTAACTTACATCCATCATACTCAATCAAGCCACCTGCTGTTGGAAATATCTATGATGTTTTTCTTTTTTGCCTCCAAAATTTTTTCAGATGTATTTTCAATATGCGCCTGGTTTTACTGACAAACAAGTATTTATGTCTGTATTTTCTAGGATAAACTTCTGTTAGGAAGTGCCAAGCACAAAAATAAACTATTATAGAAGAGTATTGCAGTTGTTATGTTTAAAGTCTTCTAGGAAGATTTGATTATATTTTGTCTAAGTTGTCTTTTCCTGTAGACTTGGATTTTATGCAATCTGATAGTTACTCATTTGAAATTACACTTCTTGTGTAGTGTGTACATTTTTAGGCTGTAATACTCACAAGGGTTCACTATTTAAACAACATTGCCAAGACACACCAAAAAAGTACTTAGCTCTTAATTCCTGTCATTTTGTCTGTCATGGAGTTTTGGCCCCAACACAAGCCACTAACTCAAGGCAGCTCCACCACAACACTGGAATTAAGTGTTTAAAAGAAAAGCCATTCTTGGATGCAATGACTGTAATTTAAGTTCTCAATAGAAATGTGAGTATTTTGTATAGTTGTTGGCCTTCGTATGTTTGGGATGGACAAACAGTCTTTTTAGGCAGCACAGTAAACGCTCAACGGCCTTTGTGTCCAGAATGTACTTACAGGGAGTTTTTCATGTTTAAAACAGGAACAGAATAATGAAGATAAAATCCAATATGGAACAAGTGCAGGAGAAATTGCTGTGCAATGTCCAACTTTAAATAATGAATACATGAGATAACTTTAGAAAGGTATTATTTTGTGACAACTGCCTTTAGGTTCCTGTAATTTTGTGGAATGTGTTCTTGGCTAGAATATACTGTCTTAACTATCTAAATGAGGTGTGAAAATTCTCGATAACTTTCTGCTAAATATTTCATACTTGGCGTTTGGAAATACTTGCTTCATTGAATATGGCTAGAATTTCTGATATCAGGAAAATGTTTGATATTGTTTCTTTCTCAGTTATTTATCTCATGTCTCACACACCACTTAGTGTAAAGCCAAGAAAATGCATGGCTTAAAATTTACTAAATTATCAAGTAGTGCAGACCAGAGACTCTCTAGCACAAATCAGCTAATGGTATGATATTCACAGTACATACATTTTTAGGATGATTTTGAGAATTCATTAGGCTAGCTGATTCTACTGACTATTGCTGTGGAGTGCTTAGGGGTAGGTACGCCTGGAACACATCTTCACTTTAGTCTAGTCCTGTCCAGCAGGAATCCAATTAATATGTTCCAAGTCTACTATGCAAATAAAGTACCATAAGTGAGGACACCTAAAAAGTTTTACTTCATAAGCATGCTCCACATGACAGCTGAAATAATCATACAGGTTTGTCTTAATGTGGCCTGAATGAATTAATGTAGTTGCACTTTTTAAACAAGTTTATGGTACTCAAAGGTTTAATCCAACAAAATGTAATTGCATTTAATCTCAACCTTCCATTATTGCTTATGAATTGGTTTGTATCCCTTCACATGAAATAATTTACAAGGTATGATCAACACAGTAAAAATACACTAAAAACTCAACCAACCAACAACAGGAAAAAAAAAAAGCTCATAAAAAACCACCTCTGCCTATATGAGCTTTACTATAAAAACCACAAAGCACATAGGTACAATCTTGATTTTTAGTGGTATATAATGAAATTAAGCAACTTGAACAGTTGATTCAGCAGCTGTGCTAAACAAACATTCAGGTCTTAAATCCTTAGAATGTTCTTCTGCCTGTCACTGCTGTATGAAGGAAAGTTGCACCACAGGGTGGTGGGGTGAGGGGAGAAAAATGGACCAATTCTATAAGCTTCCAGATCTGAGGCTGCAAACTCTCCATTCTACTAGTACTACTAAATAGTGCTAAAGGAGGAAAGATTTAAAAGAAAGGGTGTCAGACTGTTCTTGTGATGGAAAATATTGTATATAATTCATAAAAGAATTCTGGTTTGTGCTTAACTGGTAAAATAGAGTGTGTTCTTTGTTTTGTTTTTTCTTTCTGTGTTTTGAATTAATTTTATTTTATTTTATGCTTAGCCTACAGTTTACTGTGGTCAGTGACCCCCCAGATGATGAAGAGGATCTTGAATGTGAAGATATTGGTTTTGCTTATGTCAGTTTGAGAAAGATATTCCAGGAGCAAAGAGATATCATTGAGCAAGATATTGATGGTAAGTTTTAGAGCTTACTTTCTTGTAACTTTTTGTAACCTAAAAATTATTTGTTGAATTTCTGCTTGTCTCTCCAAGTTTTATTGCGCGTTTCACATTGTCACAATAAGAAATTCATTACTATTAACTAATGGCTTCCACATTTGTTTGCAAAGGTCTGCAAAAACTGTGTGCTATTGTTATTCCTTAAAATCTGTTTGAAAAATAAAAAAACGATTTTTTTAGCATTCCTAGCTCCTAGTAATTAGTTAATGAAACCTAAGAACTTTAAGGACATTTCTACTTACTGTAATTCTCTATTTTATACAACACATTTCATGCTAGTAAGACTATAAATCTATATTTTGTTACTAAAATTTGTCAGTAATTCAATATTGCTAGTATCTGTATCTTATTCGAAGTTATTTCATAATCCACAGATTATGAAACATCAATCTTGTGTCCTCCATATGAAACAGGTATTGAGACACTATGACATAGTGATGGCTTTGGTTAGGTATTAGAGTAAACTTTCTTGTGTAACAGGCTGACCAAACATTCAGTGTGACTCATTTGAGCAAGGCGAGATGAGTAGGAGGTGTGGAGTATTTCTTTTCTTGGGTCTTACCACAGCATGTTTATAATACAGAAGAAGACTTAAGAAGGTTACTCTGGCCTTTCACAGACAGTCCTTGCTCAGACTTTCATGTTCCCCATAGTAGCAGGGACATGGTTATCAGTTACCAGTTGTGCATTTTTCTCCTGACCTGTTCCTCTCCATCCACTTTCCCCATTGTGGTGAAGTTCAGTGAAGAAGCTGAGAGTGTGTCTGTTACAAAACAGTTACTCCTCTGTAGTGGTAAGTGAACCAGCTTGATTTCTAGATGCAGGGCACCCATGTTGGCAAGGTACTCTTTGCCATAGCAAGAATTCCTGTTTAGCCATAGAATGCCAAGCTGATGTGACTTTTTTACTTCTACTGCTGTGTCTAGTTACCATACTTTGAGTGATGGGGAGCTGAGTAGTGAAGGAAAGAAAAAGGCTTTCTTATCCATTTCCATTATCATGCATGATTTGCATTCATGCTGTAGCTAAAATACTCAAAAGTATGCATCAAAGTTCTAGGAACATGATAAGGAAAATCCTAAAAAGAATCAGGTTTTCCATACTCTGGAAAAATAACATATGGATTTCATGCACTTCTTTCTGTGGCTTACTTAATCTTTTCTCCACCAATAATTTTTCTTCAAGAAGTTGGAAGAAAGCACATCTCCTCCAAAAAAGGTATTTCATACTCTCTCACTGGAAAATCGGTTTTGTTCTGGATTTTAGGCCATAATTCTCATTGTCATAATTCCCATTTGATAAGATTGATTAGTGATATAATTTTGTAGCCTTGAAAGTCACATTTTACAAAACTCCTTAAAGCTCATAATTGGTGTCTGAGGTAATTATTATCACAGGAAGGACTGGTTTTTATACTAGTGGTTCTGGCAAAAGGTAGTTGCTACTATGTAACTGCTTCAACATTGTGAGGAGCATTTCTTCCCCTAATCATAGAGCATGTGAAATAATTTTTACTTTATGTACATTATACCTATGAAAGTGGTAGTAAAAGATAGAAATACTTCCACTCCTACTCCTGTCCAGAGTTCTTCCCTTCCCTGCAGATGCTGTACAGTTTAGATTTTTTTTTATTGCATCCATAACCATATTTTTTGGAAATTTAGAACTTTCTGAGAATTGAAATGAAATTTACATTAACATATGTCAGATCATGACTACCATAGTATATACATTTTCTTGGGCAGTCACTGCGAAAGGATCTGTTCTTAGTTAAGGTTTGGACCTGGACTTTAATCAAATGTAATGACACAATAAATAGAATTCCTAAATAGTAATGGACATTTTCTCTGAGGTGGATACTGGTTTGAGAGGAAAGAATATACCAGGACACAGGGAAATTCACAGGACACTACCACATGAAGCTCTAATCATTCTTAAGTTAAATACCACAAACTTCCTTTATTCTCTTTGAGCATTGCAAGCATATATCTGTCTCATATCTTGTTCCTTTCATTGCTGATCATGTCAAAGTGGCCTTCATGAAATATGAAGCAGTTGTGTGAATAGCTAAACAAGAGGCTGGATGAAAGAGAACATAGACAAGACATATTACAGAAATTGAAACTAGATGATCTTGTGGTCCCTTCCAACCCTAACCATTCTGTGATTCTATTCTGTGAGTATGTCTCAGAGATAATACGACAACATTAAAACTGAGAAAATAGAATTAACGTTATCTTCTGATATCATTAATTACACTTGTCCTACCATTCTTGTATGTAAAACAAATAATGTCCCTGAAATCTTCAAGTTTACAGCTGACTAAGGGATTTGTCCAAGGATATACAAAATGTTATGGATCTCCAAGAATAGCATCAAGTTTGTCCTGTAATAGCTCTACCAACACAGTAAATGATGGAAGGTTTTATTCCATACTTTTCCAAACCTCTTCTGAGCTGTCCCAGCAGCCTAGGAGTTGTAGCATGCAGTATCGGAGCATGTCCCAGAGTACTTATCCTAGTTTATATAGTAAATACATAGCCTTGCCATTTGTCTGCTGTATAATTTGCTTTGAAAAGATATGCTGTCAAGACTATTTGTTTTTATTCAAATTCCTTCTAGACTCATGTTAGACAGCCTCATTGCTTTTTATGCAAGATTGGAAAAGAGCCTCATTGCTAACTGTTAGCCTCATGTTTTTAATCAGAGCAGCAGAGATTGTGGCCCTCTGGGCTTGCTTAGATACCGTAAAAGAGTGCAATTTTAAATCATGGTAGCTAATTTCTGTAAAGTAGAAATTTTAAATACTATTTTAAAACCCACATACACAAAGATGAAGGTAGTTAAATAGTTTAGTCTAGGGGGATGTACCATCTTTGCCCACACTTCACTGTTTTACAATACAGGAGCCTGGAATTAAATTAATTTTGCATTGCACCAGACAGAAAAAACATTGTACCATTTAAACAGTACTAACTGTCCAGGCTGATTTTACTGGTCATATACACAGTGTAGACAAGGCAGTAGTCAGTATATTTTTTACTTTATTTATAAGTATGCATATATGTCTTTATTAAAGGTTTACATATGGTGACAATTAACTTATACAGGCAATTATCATACAGACAGTTTTCTTTATTTCAGAGTTAATTCCAAGACTGATCATTCATGTACAATCTAGTTCTTGGAGTGCTCATTATCCGGTAGGCTGAGTGCCTGAACTTGAACATTTCTTTTATAATTACTTTCGTATTTCTCTTTTTTAAGCATATGTTTATGTGCTTTTTAATTTGTCAGAATGCTAAGGAAAATTACCAGAATGAAAACCAAACCTGAAATAAAATTGCTAATGCTGTTTTCTGATGTTTTCTTTCTAGTTTTCAATTCAAAAGATGATAGTGCAGTAATTGGGAAGCTCAAAGTAACAGTGGAAGCCCTCCATGTGCTGCGTTCAGTCTATGAGGAATGCGAAGAAGACTGGGAGGCATGAAAGGGAAGTTTGCCTACAGAAGCTGCTTCTCCCAGTGTAAATACATGCTTGATAGTGCTTCAAAGATGAGATCTTTGTAATTCTTACAGTATATTTAATGTATAATTTATATGAAAAGGACGCTTGATTTGTAGTTGTAAAGTTTTGTATACTTTTCAGTCTGTTTGTTTTTATATTTTCCCCCTAAGGCTAAGAATCTCTCCACAATGGACAACGTCTTGTAAATAATTAATACCTACATGATTGAATGTTGTGCTTTATTTGCATTTTCATGATTTTTTCATACATAAAACAGTAATAAAAATGCAAGTAAAATTTTTAATTTTTAATAAAAAAACCATAAGCCTTAGAAAACTGATTAAAAATACTTTTATGTTATCCCTAATCACCCCACTAAATGGAATGCCTGTGATTAGCCTCATTAAGAATTTTATACTATGAAGATTTTATTAAAAGCAATATATGAAAATTACTTGGATTAATGTGTTAATCTGCCTCTTTAAAATGCTAATATCCATTTTATGCACATTAAATCTCAGTATGTGTTTTCTTTGATGCATGCAGTTCCTATCAATTAAATATAAAAAATGAGGCTAGTTGCAGGACTTATTAAATTACTGCAACCTTTTTTTAAATAACTTTTACCCTTCTACTAACATTATAATCAGCTGTTTATGATTATCCTGATTTGAAGTAGGGGGAGGGCAGGCACATTAATTTTTTTTGTACAGTCAAAGATTTACTTTCAGCCAACATCTGTCAAAGTGCAAAAAGAAGCCATACAGCAGCAAATTTTGCTTCACCTGGTTTGAGCTTTGGGGACAGGCAGTTGTATTTTTGTTTGTTTTTTGTCACTTTCAGAACTTACATCAAACATATATAATGAATTGTTAGACCAGTGTCTAGCTTGGAAAGTTAATTTTCCAGCTTTTAACCAATCTCAGTGAAGGATTTAATTGATATTTTTAATGGAGCTGTGAATCAATGCTCCAAAAGGATTGTCTCTTGAGAACGAGGATATACGTTTCATTTTTTAATTTACTTTTTTATTTGTAATTTTCTTCAAAAGATTTTATAGGCTGTGGATTTCTACTGTTTGCAAACAGGCTATGTTTCTTCATAAGCATATATAAAGTATTCAGACAGATAAGTAATTTATTAAAATCTACCTAATTTGCCGTGATATATTAAATCTCTGCTTCAGTGATCACAGACCATTTCATTTAGAGAATTAGGCATTCCCTCTTTGTGTGATTAAAGCTCTGGAAAATGAGTTCTTTGCTCCTATTTGTGAACATTCAAAGCCTGCTAATGGCAAGAAGATGGAATAGATTATGAGACAATTCATTACAGTTCAACAGAAAAAAAAAACAGCTATAATGCAGAAATGCAAGTATGAATATCTGCATATAGTTTGAACCATCTGTGCTCTAATGGCTTCAGTAATGGCTCTTCGTCTTCAGTGGGCTTTGAAATGACATCCATACAATATTAATTTGTTGATGTACATTATGAGGCCAATGGAATGAATATATTCTGGCCACGGAAATCTGTAAATTCCAGGATGATTCAATGGTTGACTCCATTTTAGGACCCACCATCTTCAGTAGTACTTCTCAACCAGCCTTTGCCAGTCCTCACAGCATTTCATTCCTCTGGAACTTTTAGGAGACCACAGACAGCTGCATTCCTAAACCCCTCCATTCTTCAGTTAATGGCCATATGTTTGTTGTCATTTGGGCTGGCGCTTAGTTCATCATTTTGGCCACTATTTCTAGCTTTTTTTGGCTCTGTGCATCTATATTGTCAGTAAGACTGTTATTATACATTACAATAATTTGAAACAGCTAGATTCAACACTGAGATTAACTGAGTGGCTTTTTAGAAATTTAGTTGCGGTATTCTGCCAGGAGGTTCTTATTATTCTTCTAATACTTTGCAAACCAAACTAAATATCCTGCGCATAAACAAAGAAGCAAATTGTATTGAGTTTTCGTATGTGACTGTTTACTGACTTGCAGGAGAACTATGTAACTGGGGCTTGTTTTCTTCTGAAATAAACCATGTGGTAAAATTAGAAAATCAGTGATGTTCATCTCACTTCAGCGTTTACGGTAACACCCTTAGCACTTAATCTTCACCATCTGAAGTTGAAAACGCAGAAACCAAGCATACATATATTCATTAAACACAGAACTCTTTCGTAAGTTACTGCAAAATATTCCAGTTGACATTTGGTTACGTTGTGTTAACTGTTCTCAGTAACTCCAACATTAACATGTATAATCTGCCTCAGGTTCCTAAACATCTTTGTAAGGCTCACTATTACTCAGTTTTGCATTTAAAAAAATAATCTTGATTTCTGTTTATGTTTATTATGAAGACAGATATAATACTCAGTGAGGCTTTTTCCAACAGATGGATTGTATTATCTTATGTAACATAACATACGCACATACTAGAAAGTTTTGTTCTTGCAATTAAGTAGTCTGTATTTCCAACAAGCTCTTAAATCTTACATCTAAATGCTGCACTGTGCAGGGAAAGTGGAAAATGTAATTTGGCACCACTTTGTCCAGATTTTAGCTATGAATAGCCTGAAAAAAAAACCTTGCATCTGTGTACTCTCTAGCCTAACGCAAAAAGTATTCTGTTTTGTGTGCAACATGTTAGTAAGCACAATGCTTTCTGCATTTAAAAAAAAGGAGCCTTATTAAGGTTGGGTCCTACCATACTTTAAAATGTTCCTTTATTGAAATTAATTTTAATTAATTAATTAAATTTAACTAAGATAAATTTTTTCTGTGGTGTAACATGGATGTAACTGTGGTCCTGCGTAAGATAAATTGGTCAGATGATCGGTTTTGTTATTTTACATCTTTTCCCATTAATTGTTACATTTGCTGTCATATCTTCTCACATGATATACTAGCTGCTGTTCTCCAGGTGTCCCAGCTATGCTGATCAAGATCGAAACTTTAGGTCAAAAAAACTTTCCTTTTTTTTTTTTCTTTCTCTTTTTTTTTGTCTCCTTTTTTTTTTCTTTTTTTTTTTTCTCTTTTTTTTTTTTTTATGTTGCTTTTAACCTGTTATAACCTTAACCTAGGGATGGAATTTATAGGAGCAAATATATCATAAACCAAGGCAACCTGTGCGTGAACACATTTAGTTTTGCTGTACAGTAAGTCAAAACTTACCTCATTCTTGTAAGAGTAGATGTCACAAAAAGTTACAGTAACTTGTCTCACAGAACATCTACAACTGAAGATCAGTATATCAGTTAACCATACTAATGGTTTAAAATGCTTTTTATTATTTTAATGTGCAGTAGGACATTATCATATCTCAAGAAGTCAACAAAGATTTCAAGCCTAAGTATTAGCTGTTAAATTTAATTTTCTTGTTTGTACTAGAGCTGAGGTATAAATTCAGGTACAGACTTGAAATTGTGCAACAAATTTGATTGCATGTTTCAGAGCCAGGGAGATACTTCATGTTGCAGTTAGATCTTTTTGTGGGTGGTTATTATGATTTATCCATGTGTTTTTTCCAAGATATTCCACAAAAGAATATTTTTTTCCACAACATCCATAACATTACAATTTACATCACAGTTATTACAACTAATACTGAACTGAGTGCATTATTTTGCCATTACAAAATTAATTGCAGAATATAAATTCAGGTTGATACCTTTGCATGTGATAAAAATTTGCTTTTGTCACTGTATGCTACAGGGGAGCTGCTCTGTGCTTCTCGTTTAGTTACTTTTTGTTATTCATGACATATTTGACTTCTCTTTGCATCTTTTAAAATGGGATGGTGTAAATTTTTAAGAACTTGATTTCATCAGAATAATTTCAAACAAAAGCTGCTTGTAAATTATCAGTTACCGATTGAGAATATTTTGTCTAAGAAAATAAGTTATTATGAACCTTCAAACAGAATTGCTTGTAAGTTCTTAATAGTAGTAATTCTACCACAAAATTCTTACTAGAATAGGATTATTCAGGTTAGAAAGGACCTCAGCTTGTCTCTAACCTGCAGCAGATTTAGCTATAATGTTAGACCACATTGATCAGGGCTGCATCCAGTCTGGTCTTGAGAACCTCTGAGGATGGGGACTGCGTATCTTCCCTGAGCCGCCTGTACTAATGCCTGACCTTATGGTGGAAAAGGAGACATATTTCTAAACACTTTCAATCCAAATGGAAGCCCAGTCCGTATTCAAGTGCTTGAAGACAGCTTTTGCACTTAATACACTATCTTAATACACCATGCCTACTGCTTTATAGTATGCCATCAAATTTCCATCAGTTTTGTGAAGGAGCTGACAAAAAATATGTGTATTATTGTTAACAATGTTTGCTGAGATAATTTTTCTGTAGATTTCAGTAGTAAACAATTTACTGTGGTTTATTCTTGGTTTTGTTCCATGAGGCTTAGATTAAGACTAAGAAAACAAACTGATTAAAAAAAATATGTTAAATTATACTCCACATGACCTTCATTCATTTCTTAGGACATTTCAGATTTACAAAGAAACTGTTCCCTGAGCTGTAAGAAACTGAGATGTAAAGCTGGAGCCTCTGTGCATGCCCATTTTCTGTATTAAAATAGATCTTGCTTCAGGAGTTCAACATCAATAGCTGCAACAGTACAAGACAGGTTTGCATATGATCTAGCAATGACTTGTTTAACATTTTTGTGGATTTAGAAAATCATCTATTTTCCATTCAGATAATTTGTCGTTCTTGTTGAATGCAAAATTATTTCCTTATGCATTAAATGTGCAAGAACTGAACTTTCCTTGAAAAACCATTAGGAAAATGTGGTCCTTCAGCTACAAAAAAAAGATAATAAAGTGAAGTTTCTTTTGTTTGAAGAAATATCTTGCAACCAGTGATTACTCAGATTACCTCTCATAAGTATAAATAGTTACAGTAGCTGATAGCCTCTGACTTCAATGAAAATGAAAAAAATGTTTTACCACATATAGGACAATTTTCACAGAGAAATGAAAGGGGGAAACACCAATCAGCGTCTCACTCCAAACACACAGTGCACAAATAGTAAATAAAGCACAGCAAGCTTAAGGGAACATACAGGAAGTCTTTCTACATTTTTTAAACATTCTTTAACCTTCTTTCTGCTGTAATAAGCAGTTATTGCTATATATCAAAACCAGGACCATTTGGAAACATTCCAGTAGATGGCTCATGTCAATGGTACAATTTATATCTTGGATAAGACACACAAAAATGGAACTGTTTATAAAGCAGTATCAGTTGTGAATCAGCATGCGGTAAATATAAGCTGAGCAAGAATAGCTGTGGGGGTTTTTTTGTAACCTACCTATAGTGAAGTTAAGCAAGTTAAGGTAACGTAGTTTATTTTAGAATAGAATTTACAGTTATCTGCTCAAAGTCTTTCATAACAAAGGTTTTCAAAGAAGTTTGTGAGGGTAATGAGGGTTACACTTCCACCCACAACATCAGACAAATATGATAAAGGCCTGTAACATAGCCCTAGTACAGCTGTGAATGGATCCTAGAACAGCATACGTGCTATCGAAAGCACTGATTACTGTAGCTTTGTACACTCTTCAGTATCTTCTCTTTTTGAGTTGGCCTGTTTAGGGAGAGCACAGAAGTTGAGGGTTATGAAGTCTGTAGGGTGTGAGACATGCTGTTTTCTCCATTTTCATCATTCACAGGGGGACAGCCTCCTTACAGCAGACTACTAAATATGAGGCTTGTTTCTAAAATCAACATACAGGAGAAATGTTGCAGAGGCAGAGGAGAGGGGAGGCCTTCATGTTCACACTGGAGGGGATCCTGGAAGGACAGCATATAGGGGTCAGTGTGAGTCTTGTCTTCATTCTTTTGCCTGTTTTAGTATTCACCCTGTTTTCTTGAAGCTTTTGCATTAAGAAAAATTAACTTTGCATAAACCTCTGCAGCTTTTTTGCCCTTCAGCCATGCCTGCCATGATCTTATTGGAATCGAGTCTGTCACATATGGGTTATTTTGTACCAAGGAAAGAGAAAGGACACAACTGAACCTCACAGTCCATTTGGCTGTCCCTCCAGGATGACTCCTCAGCCTGAGGAGCCACACCTCCATAGTGTCCACTTGAAATCAAACCCTGGATACAAGTGAGGATGCAAAGAGACTGGAAGTTGAGTTATGGAATGTAACTCGTGAATGGGCACTCAGGGAGAAAATCATTAGCAGGAGTAAAGGGGAGTGAAAATCAACTGTGGTTTCACCTGGAGTTCAGTCCTGTCAAAACACAGTAATAAAACAGCATGAAGCTTCTCATCCATAGGTTTAAAGATCAGAAAAAAATCACCAACACAAAAAAAAAAACCCACCACCCAGTAATTTGTAAAACATCACAAATTATGGGATCATGAGGTAATCTCTTGCAGTAAAATGGTAAAATGTCTGCTCTGCTTCTTTTACTTTGCTTTTTATGATTAATTTTGGCTGTAAAGTAGTACTGTTGATACACACATGCTCTTTGAGTATGAACATGAAAATGTTAGTTTCATTCCAGGAACTGCTGGAGGGTGGATGTTTTTCACGTCTTGTAATCCTTGTTTATGCTATGCTCTGTCTATTAAGTAAAATACAATTTAAGTGCTCTAACAGAAACAGATATATATTTTAAGGTGGGGTTATGTTTAGAGAAATCATTGTTAGCTACATCACTGAGAAAAACAAATAGAGAGTGCATTTTCTTTGATTTTAAAGCCAGAGAAGACATTCATAACTTATGCTGCCTCCCTAGCATAGGCTGTTACATTTAGTTACCTACCTGAATTACGGAATTATCTCAGGACGCTTTAGAAGAAAGATCTGCAGTCAGTTTCTCACCTTGTTACTGCAGTTTGATATCCAGAGTATTTTAATCTCAAATTCTGTATGATTTGGTTCCCAGTGTTTGACATCCTTCACTTGAAATCGTGATTGTCCAAATTTGCTGAAAACTCACCTCAGGCCTATGCATTTCATTCTGTGAACCCTATAGAAAGACTAGGTCTAGTTTTGTGGGTTCATTACAAGTATTATCATTTT